ATCCACCCATCCATCCACCCATCCATCCACCCACCCATCCATCCATCCATCTTTCATCATGGCTGAATAAAGTGTGTAAAGGGAGCTATGCTTCGAGGATAGTCAGACAGCTTCAGCATTCGCCTACACCTGCATAAAACCCTGTAGGTCAAGATGTGGAAGCCCACCAGCATCCTTTCAGCTGTTCTTGTGGTCCTCGTCAGAAGCTACCCACCCTCCCTAACAGGGAACTAATATCAGGAACTCTGTTTTTGTTTCTGTCTTTGATGCAGGGCATCATGTAGCCCAGGCTAATCTCTGATTTGCCAGGTAGCCAAGGCTGGTGGTCATCCTGCCTCCATCTCCCAAGTGTTTGAAATACAGATGTGCGTCATCACACCTAGCTTACCAGCCCGAATTCTGTCAACATAGGTGAGCTTTTCCTATTCCTGAACTTCACATAGATAGACTTACAGTATGTGCTTTTCCTTTATTCATCATAGTACCTATGAGATTCACCCACACTGTTACTTGTAGCAGCAATAGGGTCTTTAAGAAATACAGGTGAGAGCTCCGTGATCTGAGCGTGTTACCATATCTCCATTTTCACGTGGGCTTTGAGTTGTCATCAATTTCTGGCTGTTGTGAAAAAAGCTGACGATCTTGCATGCGTGCTTCACGCATGGGACCACTTAGAAACATTCATATCTCTTCGTGTATTTAAGAGCTGAATTTCTGAATCAAGCTGTACGGGTGGACTGCTTCCATAAAAACTGACAGTTCTTCCAAAACCACTGGAAAAAGGTTATGGTTGAACCTCTGCACTCATGGGTGCACGTATGTGAATTTAACCAACTGCAGACCAAGAATACTTAGGAAAAGCTACATCTACGCTGACCGTGACACCTTCTACGTGCTGCCTTTCCGAAGCTATGTAACAGCAATATGACTAAGCTGTGTAACAGAATAACATTACGTAAGCTATGTAACATAATAACCATTTACTTGGTGTTTGCTTTACATCAGGTGTTACAAGTCACCTGTGCTATACAGGAGGATGTGTGGACGTTATATACATATCCATGTTGCTTTATACGAGGTAAGTATGTGTAGCTGCAGCATGGGGATGCTGGCACCATTCACCCATGGATACCAGGGGACAGTGGTACAGACATGAGCACTAATACACACAGTGTACTTGTGGTTTGAGTGTGAAATACATTCCCTCAGGCTCAGGTGTTTGAACATCTGGTCCCCAGCTGGTGGCACTGTTTTAGGAGGCCATGGAAGCTTCGGGACTCGGGTCTAGCTGGTGAACATGGTCCATGGGATGAGCCTTCAGGTTATAGCCTGACCCACTTCTAGCCAGAACTTTCTCGGCTCCTAGCTGTGTACTCCCACTACCCCAGACCAGCCTGCTTCTGCTCCTGTGCCCCAATGGGCTGTATCCTCTGAACCGTGAACCACAATATGCCTCTCCTCCCTTCAGTTGTTTCTGGCAGGTGCTTTCATCAGAGAAAAGTTAATAAACACAGCACTTTTAAAAGAGTTACTACTGGGACGGGAGCCATGACTCAGTGATTAAGAGCACTGGCTGCTCTTATAGAGGATCCAGGTTCGATTCCCAACACCCACATTGGTGGCTAGCAACCATCTATAGCTCCAGTTCCAGGGGATCCTATGCGCTCTTCTGACCTCTGTGGGCACGACAGATGCACTTACACACGTGCAGGCAATACACATACACACAAAATAAAAAATTAAAAAAAAAAGCGTTACTGCTGACATTCTGGGCAGAGGTGTCTCCGCATCTTTTCATGGTCTGACTGACCAGCTTATGTTTCCCTGGACAGCATGTCCTCCTTTTTCAAGGCTGGCCTTTTGAGTGCCCCTCACCCCCAGGCCGCAGGGGAGAACAGCTCCTCTGACTGCGGTCTGACCTGGGTCTGCAAGCCCTGGGTATTCTTTGTCGACGGTTCTGGCAAAGCTGGTCTCCAGCTGCTGGATCACCCTGTCTGCGGAGCTGTGGTAGACCCCGGTGGGGCTGCAGCACTTGCTCCAGAAGGACAACAGAGACAGCTTTTTGTGGAATTCTGGTATGGCTGAAAGAGAGCAAGCGTTAAGCTTGATGAGATGGGGTGAGCCAGGCATCCCACAGACCTTTTATCTTCTCTTTTATTATTATTTTAAAAGACTACTTTGTTTTGTTTTTAAATAGTTTAATTAAATCATTTTTTTCAGACTCTCATGTAGCTCAAGCTGGCCTCAATTCCTTATGCAGCTGAGAATGATCTTGAACTCCTGATGTTTCTGCCACCCCCAGGTCTTCCTTGCTTTATTTTATTAAAATTAAACATTTTTGGATTTATTTTTATGTGTATGAGTGTTTTTGTCTATATGTATGTAAGTGTACCATAATGTGTGCAGTGCCCGTGGAGGCCAGAAGAGGGCACTGGATCCCCTGGAACTGGAGTTACAGATGGTTGCGAGCTTCCATGTGGGTGCTGGGATTCAAACCCGGGTCCTCTGCAAGAGCAGCCAGTGCTTTAACCACTGAGCCAGCTCTCCAGCTCTTGTTTTATTTTATTTTTTGTGGTACTGGGAATTGAACCTGGATCTCATGCTTGCTAGGCAAGTGCTCTCTACTCCTGAGCTGTATCTTCAGCCCTCTTTTTATTCTTGATTTTTGAGACATGGTCTCACAAAATTGTAGCCCAGACTAGCCTTGAACTGCTGGTCCTCCTGCCTCAGCCTCCTGAGTAGTTGAGATTAGTGACATAGGCCACCACGGCCATTGACGCTGTGGCTTTCAGTTGGAACCACTACAAGATTGTTGTGATTGGCAGGTGAAAAACTTGCCGAAAGGAAAAACCTGCCCTGCCTGGAAGGTGGAGAAAATGAAGCTTGACTGTTTCCTCTCGGAGACCAAAAGCCTGGCGACTCTGCCTTGGGGGGACCCCACTCATCTCCTGTGACTTTACAGCACAGAGCTCACAGGACCAGAGATGCAGGCTCCAGGAGAAGCCTCTAAAGGGGCCAGAACACAGTGGTGCTTGCTGGAGATTCCCCCTGGCCCTGGGGCTCTCAGACTAGAATGAGTAAGGAACACAGCACCAGGCAGTGTGTGCCCACAGTCACACTCCTGATGGCTGAGACTGTGAGGAGGGGCCTGGGGAGCAGGACACAAGCCACTCAAGGCCTGATCTACCCTTTTGCCTCTGACAGCTGCCAAAGTCAACAACTGAGGCCCAGGGGCACAGGGAGACTCTCAGGCGAATTCAAGGTTCAATCACAGATCACAGGTCTCTATTTCCTTTATGTCTGATGTGAAAAAGACTATGAAAGCCCAGTGGCTGGTTCACACAAGCTCAAGGACATCTTCCCCATGTGAAGTTCTGTCTCTGGGGCTGAGGAGATAGCTTAGTCATAAAGTGCTTGCCTTGAAAGCACAAGGACCCTAGTTTGACCCTGAGATGCCACATTAAGAAAGTTAAGTGTGGTGGCTCAGTGCTTGCAATCCTGGAGCTGGAGGCGGCGACAGGAGGGAGGTGGTGTCGGGAGGATCCCTGAGGCTCCCTGGCCAGCCAGCCCAGCCTACTTGATGAGCTCCAAGTCAGAGAGACTGTCTCAAAAAACAAGGTAGGGGCCTGAAGAGATGGCTCAGCAGTTAAGAACACTGGTTGTTCTTGCAGAGGACCCGGGTTCGAATCCCAGCACCCACATGGCAGCTAACAACTGTCCGTAACTCCAGTTCCAGGGGAT